GCCCCAGAGGCGGATTTTTATTGTGGACTCTGAGCAGGGAGCTCCTGGCTATGACTAATTCATTGTGTTAGAATTCTATTGCTACTGTGACAAATTACCATAAATTTCTTGGCTTAAACAAGCAGATCCATTATTTTACAATTTTCAGATGTCTTTTCCTTGGCTTATTACTCTTCCATCTTCAAAGCCAGCAGTGTTAGGGAGACTTCTTCTCATGCTTCCATGTCTGGTTTCCTTCCTTAGTCACACCTTCCTCTTCCATTTTTAAGTATCTTTTGGATTCATCTGACTAGCAAACTTAATCCATCAGCAAATTGAGTTCTCTTTTGTGGTATAACAACATATTCACTCAAGTTCTGAGGATTAGGATCTCTGGGAGGCTATTGTTTTGCTGACCACAGCCATAATTTCTGTTGCTCAATATATCTGAAAACTCTTTTCCTCCAGATAATCTTTTCATTGCTGTTAATGCCCTGGATCTACACTATTCTGTACAACTGCTGTCCTATGGTGAGAAATCTGTTTGGCTCAGTGTGATATTATTGTTCATACAAATCTTTTTTCTTTAGCTTCTCATAAGCTATTGACTTAGTAGTCAGCATCTCCTAGGTCTGTTATAAGTTCTGGCAATTAGTTAGGGACCAACTGGCAAGGCTACACATCAGAATATCATGAAGTATGTGTAAGGAAGTTCTTGGGCCCCTTTTTCGCTGGGGACTCCCTGAGGGGAAACTTCCCAAAATAAGATGGCTGGGCATGAAAGAAATCCTAATTGCCTGTCCAGGACAGGTTCCATGAAAGGGAAAGAAACACACACATATTGATTTAGGGTTGTCAAAGTTTATATGCCTAAGATATAATATGTATAAACTAGAGTGTATTTCTTTAGGGAACTTCACTTGCTTATAAGGTGCCATTATCTCTCACAAAAAGGTGAGGGGGGTGATTAATCTTACTACTTGATGGTTGATCTTTTCCAGTCCAAAACAACCTTTTATGGTAATTTAATAAATTCCAAGTTCCAACCACTGTGCAATATTCTCTAATGTTCTTGACTTTGCTCCTTGAGGTCTAGATGTGAGGAGAAGTAAGCTCTGGGATATTTGCTTTCTTTTGTTCTCTTGACATAGATACTGAAAACTCATGGCACCAAAGACTTGGCCCCTCTCCTCCAGCTACATAGAGTCCCTCTGCTCTAGGTGGTTCACCATCATCCTTCGGCTGGACCTTTTCTTCCCATCAACCTCTGCATTGGAGTTCCCTTGATTCTGCACTGAGACTATCTTTACAAAGGTGTTCACTCTTAACTCTCAGGGATTTTCTCACTTATGTTAAGGGGTTTTCCTCTGAAATTACATCTGATGAGTCAATGGAGATCCAGAGTGTAGAGTGGCTTTTCAGACTCACTTCTCCTAATTCATGCCAGGTTACCTTTCATCTTCTGCTGCTCTGGGCAGTGGTTTTGCTCTTTTAGGGACTCAAACTCCCCCCCTCTGACATTCCAAAATTATAACTAACCTAATTTTAATTTTTTTAAAATTTTAAATTATTTTTAGCTTTCTGAAAGGGAATAATAGAATAAAACACCTAGAAATGGTATAAACTGGGTGCCTAAAATTAGTTGCTAATAATAATCTAGTGAGCCATCTAAAACTTGGAGACATATTTAGGTTTTCAGTTAGTATCTTTGGGAAAGTTTTATAGTTCGTAAAATGATTCTTTATGAATTTTGTTAAGCAATTATATCAATGACTGGTGTCACTTTGTAGTTAGTACATTTGAGGTTATTTTTAAGTGTATTATTTTGAAGATTATCTGGGAACTATGGACTTAATTTAGAGGAACGTGATTTGAAAGAAGTTATCTGTGAAAAAGGCAAGAACTATAATGTGTTCTGTTTTCAGTGAAACAATCTTTGAATGTAGCAGTGGAAGATCAATCATTAAAGTCAGTTAAGATTCTGAGAGAATGTACAGGTGACAAGCATCCTTTTTTGTGAAGACTGTGTGTAGAATAATAGTAAGACTCACATTGGAGAAAAACTAAAGCACATTAGTGTATCAGTCAGTAGGGAAAATATCTCATCTTGAATTTTGTCTTTATGCCACATTCCTTTTAGTAGAAAGGCCAAAATCATGTAGCATGTGAGAAGCTGAAATGATTTGAATGGTGTGCTGTCTGGTGCTGAAAACTCATATTATTTCTAACATGCTATTTTTCCTCACGAAAGAATTGGGTAAAAATACAAAGCAGGTAATCACACAAAAAAAGATACTTTAGACTGTGCTTTTTACTATTAATATGCTAATATATTAAATATTGTGGAATTGTGGCTTATTTCAGTTATGAAATAGAAGTATATTTATGTTATGAAATGTATCATCATATCAAAAATCTATGTGAAAATTTCTACTTTGAAAATTGTTTACTAAGTATTTATCTGAAAACTTTTTAAGAGACTTCATAAGGCTCATACAACAACAAAGAATATTGTATTTTTTAAAGCCAGAAAGTGAGAGCTAGTTCTTTTGGTGAGGTGGGTACATAGTTTTAACTCATTTTTCTTATCAAATAAAACATTCCAATTGCAGTTTTATATATGAAAGAATATAGCCAGATATTTATTCTTGAGTTCTAGACTTTCTTGACTTCATCTGTTTAGGACTTATTTGTGAGACAGAGTTTATATTTCTCTCTTTTTGTTAGTCAGTTTTCTATCATTATAGTGAAATAGTTGTGATGAGTAACTTATAAAGAGAAAAGGTTTGTATTTTGACTTACAGATGTGGAGGTTCCAGCCCATGATCAATTGGCCCCAGAGCTTGGGCCTATGGTCAGGCAGTACATCAAGATGGTAGTGTGTGGTAGAGCAAAACTGCTAAACTAATTACCAAGAAGCAAAAGAAAAAAAGAGGCAGGGCATCATGGTCCCACAATACCCTTTGAGGGCACATTTCCAATGACCTGAGGACCTTCCACTAGGCTCCATTTTCCAAAGCTTTCACCACCCTGGGGACCTAGCTTTTAGCATATTTGGGGGATATTCAAAATCACACCTCAGTATTTGTTAATTATTTTAAAATTATAATGGAAATATAATTTGAGGGAACATTTTGTATATATTCTAGAGGATATGTATATACTTGAGATAAATTGATTTACACTCCATTCATTTTTAAACCACTTAGTAATGTGTTTGGCACCTGTAGTGACTTAATAACTGACATTATCTGTAGTCTATAATGTGAAGTATGTATTGTACATCTGAAATAATCTTCACCAGCTATGTAGCACACTGTTCTCTCTGTACCACAGGAAGGAGGTTAGACCGTGTAGAGAAATGAACATGGTATTAATGGTACAAAGCACAGTACATTTCCCATCAATTATTTCTATTGGTTTTACTGCAAAGAACTAAATATCCTGAATCAAATTCAAGTGATGTTGAGGTTTATCTACTTGTAACCCAAATCATTTAATCAATTCAAGAATTCTCATTCCTGAATCTCATCTGAGGCTGAAAAAAGAGCTTCTCCTTGGAGGGATTTCTTCATGGGTAAGCTTGGTATGGAAAAGAGGACCCCCGTATCCACCTGGTGAAAGCATAAGCAATCCATTGATATGCACTGGAAACCAAACATAGGATCTTTATGTCATTAAATTGATGTGCCTTGGATAATTCAAATGAATAAGGCCAGTGTTCAAATGACTATGGGGAAAATCTCAGAGTTTAAATTAATCAATCAATTTTAGGAGTAAAATGTGATTGAGGTCTTTTTAAATGCCAATTAACTATAACTCCCTTTAAAAAGTTTTAAGTCCATGGAAAACTAATGTACTATATGATGGATGAATGTTAGTATAGGCATTTGTGTATGTCTGAAGCCAGTGTTCACCAGCAGCATCGTGCTCCCCTGGGACCCAGCTGTAGAACCTGTTGGTAGTAAAGCAGATTGCTGGAGCTATGCCAGAAAAAAAGCAGGGTTGAACTGGCTTTGGTGTGTGCCTGGATTCTCTTCTCATAAGACAGTAAAAACCTGCCAGATCCTGGCTTTCAAAGATGGTTTAGTCATGCATGTGCACCCCATCTGTTCCATGCATAAGGGATTTCCTTCTCAGCTCAACACTCCAGCCACAAACACTGCCACTGCTCCCTGCCTCCTTACCAGCTTTAATTCCTCCTCTCCTGCTGGGAGTGTACAGGCTGTGTAAACCAGGCGCAGCTTATGCCACTCTAGGGAAATCCTAGAGATGAACGAGAAATAAAGTTGAATTTTTCTCTGTCACTTAGCTTAATTTTGGTATAGTTTGATTCAGTGATTTCAAAAAAACATATGAAAACATTTAATTTGATAAAAAATTGAAGATATTATTACAGTTCTAACCAAACATTTACTGTAGATTTTAATAACCTTCAACTTGTCTACATGTAAATTGTCCCTGAAATTTCCTTGTGTTACCTGGCTGAATCTCAGCAGGGGCTTCTAATTCCTTCATTCCCCTCTCTCTCTCCATAAGGTTTAGCAGCATGGTTTAGCCTCCTCCATTACAGGGAGGGACCTTCTCTATGATATAACCCTTTTTCCTTTCTTTGTTACCACACACTCCTTCCAGGTTTGACCCACGGGCTGCATCTCTCCCTCTATTTTCTACCATGACCACCCTTTTTTTGTAAAAGGTGATTGACAGTTAATACCAGGTTGTGATGCTGGGGTGGGCACGTACAGCTTGAAGCCTCAAAGTTGCAAATGCAAACTATTGTGATACAAGCTGTTTTACAACCTATGACATAAACTACTATTTTAGCAAGCTGGTAGTCTGATAGCAAATTTATATTTACGTCTTCCTCTTTTACCGAAACTTCAAAATCATCCATATGAAGAAAGAGAAGGGTAGATTTTTTTAATCATTTGTTTATAGTTTTAAATACCTTCTAATGGGAATTTATGAGCTCAAGAGGCAATTATTATTCTTATTAACTTCCTTTTCCTTTCACTCAGATTTATGAGAAATACCAGGATTTGTATACTGTGGAACCAAATAATGCACGCCAGCTGGTGGAAATTGCAGCCAGGGATATTGAGAAACTTCTAAGCAACAGATCTAAAGCCCTGGTGGTGAGTTTAATTTGGATCTGCTCCTTCTGTTATTTACTATCACTTACCTATTATTTATTTTTCATGCTTTATTCGGAGGTTTTGTTTGGTGTGCTTTCTTTACTTTAGTAATTGTGCTCATGTGATGCATTCATAAAACAGTGAAAGACCATGATTTCATTAGGAACCTAGAATAATCAGGTAACTTTTATCTAAATAGTGGTTTATTTTTATAATAGTACTATGTGTTTAATAACATCTGAAAAGTATATTCAATTCATATGTGTATGTATATATGCATATGTAAGTCATTATGCATAATAATGAACACATTTAAATTTTATTATAGGACATAAAACCAAGGATATTATTAGCACTCTTAAATTCTAGTACTCTCCCATTGCATCATCCTCCTTCCCGATCAGATGTGGCCAATATACTAGATAATTGACTGATCATTTCTTTGTTTTATAAAAATAGCTGTACCTCACATAACTTCTTTGCTAAACAAGATATATTTTATTTGCTTACTTTTGAGCTTTGTAGACATTGTATCATTTTGTAAGCAGTCTTTGGCAGCTTTTCTTTACCAACATTATGTTTGTATGATTTATCTGTATTCTTGCATTTAGCTTTAATTAATTTTATGGTAATCCTATTTTATTTGCTGGGGGTCTTGGAATAGACCCCCAGTGGATGTCTGAAATCAAATATAGTATTGAACCCTTCATAGTCATCTATCATTATGCATGGAGGATGCAGAACCTGTGGATGTGGAGGTCTGACTGTACTGTTTTTTTCCTATATATACCTATTTATGACAATATTTGGAAGAGAAAGAAATTAACAATAAATAATAGGAAAATGATAACAATATATTGTAAATAGGAAAATGATAACAATATATTGTAATAAAGGTTATGTGACTATCCTTTCTCTCTGCACAAATATCCTATTATTCTGTGTTTACACTCCTTCTTGTGATGTCGGATGATGTAATATCAAGGGGATAAAATGAAGTAGGCATTGTTGATGTAGCAGTAGGCTACCTCATAAAGGTCAATTGAACAAAAGCTTTGCAGTACTTTGACAGTTGACTTGATACCTGACTTGGCACCATAGTAAGTGACAGGGAGATAATATATATAGTGTGGATATGCTGGGCAAAGGAGTAATTTGTGACGTGAGCAGAATAGGGCAAGATTTTATCATGCTACTCAGACTGGCATGCAATTTAAAATTTATGAATCACTTATTACTGGAATTTTTCCATTTAATATTTTCAGACCATGCTTAAACATGTGTAATTGAAGCTATGGAAAACAAAACCATGTCTAAAAGATATGTCTAACAAAACCATGTCTATCATATTTACAGGTATATATTATTTTATGAGGATGTAGCTCAATTTATGTACTTATATATTGTTTGGGTTGCTTCCAGAGAGATGCTATTATGAATAGTGCTGCTGAATTTTCTTGAACAGTGTCTTGCTACACATGTGCAAGAATACAGGACAGTGGAATTATTAGTTTATAGGGAATTAACAAAGTCAGCTTTAAAAAGTGTGATAATTGTTTTCAAAAATAGTTGTATCAATTTAGATTTCTACTAGAAATACATGAGTTTCCAGTAGTCCATATTCTGGACAAATGTTAAAATGTCAGACTTATTAATTATAGGCAAACATATAAAATGGTACCTCTGTTAATTGCTAATAAGGAAATCATCCTGTGATGTGATCATCTTTCTCTTCATTTTCAGTGAAATATCTTTTCATATCTTTTGCATATTTTTATTATTATAATTGATTTGTAGGTTATGAGTTATTAGTTTTAACTCATTTTAGTTATATACAAAGCAAATATGTTTTCCTAATTTTGGCTATTTCACTATCTTTATCATGTATTTTAATAAGTTCTTGTTTTTAATGCAGTCAAAGCCAACTTTTCCTTAATTATTAGTATTTTGGGGATATTATATCTAAAAATATAATTTTAATCCTTTCCTACCCTTATTAAATTATTAATTATTATTAATAATTATTGACTACACAATTAGAAATATTTTATTCTCAATGGTTCTAAGTTTTATCTTTCATATTTAAGTATTTGATCCACTTTCAACTGTTATTTTTTTTATAGTTTTTTTGAATGTAGATGGACACAATACCTTTATTTCTTTATTTCTATGTGGTGCTGAGGATTAAACCCAGTGACTCACAGATGCTAGACAAGTGCTCTACTACTGAGCTGTGACTCCAGCCCCTCTTGCCTATTCTTGAATCTATACATTTTATCTTTATTATAGATTGAGCCTGAAAATCTGGGAAAATCTCCATTGGGGTTTTGACTGGTATCATACTAAATCAGACCAAATTGGGAAGAATTGTTATCTTTATTACATTTTGTCTTTCTATTTATAAGCAGGATATTCTTTCCATTAAGCAATTTTTTAGGTCATTCAACAAAGTTTTAATTTTTTTTCATAAAAATTTCACATATGTTTTGTTAGCTACAATGCTGGAGTTATTCTTTAGACCTCAGCACTGTGACAGATCTTTCTTCCAAGACTACCCTTTGTTTACTGTTTGCTTTTCACTCACAGTTCAGAGTTTTAGCTTGTTACATTTTATACATATCTTGGCCCTCAAAAATTTCCTTGATGTTTTAGGCAATTATGATTATTTTATAATGATTGTTAAAGTGTCCAGGGTTTTGTAATGTAGCAGCACTCTCTGTTGGAATATTTGGCATGTTGTATTGCAAAAATTTGAAACATTGTATCTAAAAAATACACAATTGGTGGCCCGCGGCGGGACAGAGCTTCCAATCACTCCTGCAAGGTAGGAGGGCCTGTGACCCACCGGCAGAAGAGGAGCAGCGGCCTGCTGAGAGGCAGAGCCGTCCCCTCCCCCCGCGCCTGCAAGGTAGACGGAACTGTGACCACCATCAGAACAGGCCAGACCTGCAACCGACAGACAGAACAGGCCCAGTGGCCTGAGGAAGGGTAGAGCCGCCCCCCCACCCCGCGCCTGCAAGGTAGGCGGACCTGCGACCCACAGGCAGAACAGCCCCAGAGGCCTGCAGAGGGGCAGTGCTGCTGCCTGCGCCTGTAAAGTAGGCAGAACTGCGGCCACCGACAGAACAAGCCTAGCGGCCTGCAGAGGGACAGAGCCGCCGCCCGTGCCTGCAAGGTAGGTGGACCTGCTACCGACCGGCAGAGCAGGCCCAGCGGCCTGCCGGCGTGATAGGCACATTGCCCCAATTGGAGGAGGGGCAGAGCCGCCGCCTGCGCCTGTGAGGGAGACTTTGCAACTATACAAGACCAATATAAATATATAGGGGGAAAATTCAATAGCACAACAGTTTCACCAAGTAGAAAGGAATGCGAACAGTATGAAGAGACAAGGAAAGAAAGGACCACAAGCAATGCAGGTCAACTCAACATTAGAAGAGGTAATAGCTGCAGCAGATGGAATGTCAGATAAAGAATTCAGGATATACATGCTTCAGATGATCTGGAGTCTCAAGGAAGACATCAGACAGCAAAATCAGACAATGAAAGATCACTTCAACAATGAATTACATAAACAAATCCAAGAAGCAAAAGATCAACTATACAGGGAGATAGAGGTTATAAAAAACAAACAAACAGAAATCCTAGAAATGCAGGAAGCAATAAACCAACTTAAAAACTCAATTGAGAATACGACCAGCAGAGTAGAACACTTAGAAGATAGAACATCAGACAATGAAGATAGAGTATTTCAACTTGAAAAGAACATAGACAGCTCAGCAAGACTGTTAAGAAACCATGAGCAGAACATCCAAGAAATATGGGATAACATCAAGAGACCAAATTTAAGAGTCATTGGGATACAGGAAGGGACAGAGTTTCAAACCAAAGGAATGAGCAATCTATTCAATGAAATAATACGAGAAAACTTCCCAGACTTGAAGAATGAGACAGAATCCCAAATCCTAGAAGCCTACAGGACGCCGAATGTGCAAAATCATAAGAGACCCACACCTAGACACATTATAATGAAGATGCCCAACATACAGAATAAGGAGAGAATTTTAAAAGCTACAAGAGAAAGGAAGCAGATCACATTTAGGGGTAAGCCAATCAGGATAACAGCTGATCTTTCAACACAGACACTGAAAGCTAGAAGATCCTGGAATAACATATTTCAAACACTGAAAGAAAATGGGTTCCAACCAAGAATTGTGTTTCCAGCGAAATTAAGCTTCAGGATGGAAGATGAAATTAAAACCTTCCACGATAAACAAAAGTTAAAAGAATTTGCAGCTAGAAAACCATCTCTTCAAAACATCCTTGGCAAAACATTACAGGAAGAGGAAATGGAAAATAACAATGAAAACCAACAGTGGGAGGTAGGACAGTAAAGGGGGGAAAAATAATCAAAGTGGAAAACAAACCATGTTTAGCAACATAAATAAACAAATATGGCTGGAAGAACAACCCATATCTCAATAATAACCCTAAATGTTAATGGCTTAAACTCACCAATCAAGAGACACAGGCTAGTAGAATGGATCACAAAACAAGACCCAACAATATGCTGCCTACAGGAGACGCATTTGATAGGAAAAGACATACATAGGCTGAAGGTGAAAGGTTGGGAAAAATCATATCACTCATATGGACTTCGGAAACAAGCAGGAGTATCCATACTCATATCAAATAAAATAGATTTTAAGCCAAAGTTAATCAAAAGGGATAAAGAGGGACACTACATACTGCTCAAGGGAACCATACACCAACAAGACATAACAATCATAAATATATATGCCCCAAACAATGGTGCAGCTATGTTCATCAAACAAACTCTTCTCAAGTTCAAGAGTCTAATAGACCACCATACAATAATCATGGGAGACTTCAACACACCTCTATCACCACTGGACAGATCTTCCAAACAAAAGTTGAATAAGGAAACTATAGAACTCAATAACACAATTAATAACCTAGACTTAATTGACATATATAGAATA